CTTGGTGCATTCTTGGGACATATCCTTTTCCATATTGGAGCACTCCACCCAATGTTGGGGCTCTGTTGAGGCTTCTCGTGGAGGTATGTTGGAAGTGATTGGGGGCGTGGGGTCTAGATCAGGGCTATGTTGAAGGCTTTGCTGCTGTTATGTTACTTGTTTCGCCCAATGCTGGGGCTCTCTTGAGGCTTCTCGTGGAGGTATGTTGGAAGTGATTGGGGCTGTGGGGTCTAGATCAGAGCTATGTTGAAGGCTTTGCTGCTGTTACGTTACTTGTTTTGCAGCCATGTTGGTCCGCTTGGCTGCTTTATCTCTGCCGTTTGACTTGGGCAGGTGGTCTTTTGCGTAGTGTGTGTAAAGCACTATATATAAAATTATAGACTATGAAAAATGAGGTCCGGCAAGTGTAAGAAAGGTGGTTTTGACAATTTTTGGTCGTTATTGTTGCTTATGCAAGCTTGCTCCAGTGGGTGGTCAATTTTGAGGCATGTTTGTGCCAATCTTCGGCGATCTTGGTGCATTCTTGGGACATACCCTTTTCCATATTGGCACATTTCACCCAATGTTGGGGCTCTCTTCAGGCTTCTCGTGGAGGTATGTTGGAAGTGATTGGGGCCGTGGGGGCTGGATCAGGGCGATGTTGAAGTCTTTGCTGCTGTAATGTTTCTTGTTTTGCGGCCATGTTGGTCCACTTGGCTGCTTTTTCTCTGCCCCGTTTGACTTGGCAGGTGGTCTTTTGCGCACTGTGCGTAAAACACCATAAATCCATGAAACATGAGGTCCGACAAGTGTAAGAAAGGTGGCTTTGACAGTTTGTTGTCGTTTTTGTTGCTTACGAAAGCTTGCTCCAATGGGCAGTCAAATTTGGGGCATGTTGCGCCAATCTTCGGCGATCTTGGTGCATTCTTAGGGCATATCCTTCTCCATGTTGGCACGTTTCGCCCAATGTTGGGGCTCTCTTGAGGCTTCTCGTGGAGGTATGTTGGAAGTGATTGGGGCTGTGGGATCTATGTTGAAGGCTTTGCTGCTGTTATTTTTTTTTTTGCGGCGATGTTCGTCCACTTGGCTGCTTTTTCTCTGCCGTTGGACTTGGGCAGGTAGTCGTTTTGCGCCATGTGCATATAACATCGTAAAAACCGGACAGACTTAGGTCCGACAAGTGTATGGTTTCTCTGCCGTTCGACTTGGGCAGGTGGTCTTCTGCGTAGTGTGCGTAAAACACCGTAAACACCGTGAACAAATTAGGTCCGACTACCCTGCAGCAATAAAATGTTGCTGCTCCGCTTTCCGTTTTTTCCGACCTGGTTTGCAGGATCCTTCACCACCTCCTGAAACTACAGTGCTATTTGTATGGATTATGACATGTCCAATATCTAGCTTGGGCCCACGTCTTCAGTACGCTTTCAATGCAGCCGGTCAGCGGGTACTTGACGGAACAAGAAAAGATATAAAAGATGTGAAACCTGAGGGTAGAGACACCTGAAAAAATCATGCCACTTAAAGAACTTGATTGTTTCAAATTTATTGCACTCCCTCAGACAGTGGCTGAAGTGGAGCAGAACCTTGGCAGTTGGCAGTTTGTAGTTGAAGGTAAGGTAACAGCGTTCCAGCAAGGTAAGTGTGACAGGTCTTCTAAATTGGAGTACTCGCAACACAAACTCCATGAAATACAACCAATGTTCGGATGGAATACCAAGAAGGTGAGTCCTGTTTCCGGCTGGCTGGCATTGTAATGGTGTTGGAATGTGATCACCCTCCTGGTCTGGCATTCCAACCTAAAGGTTACTCTAACTATGTTGTCGCCAACAGATCTCCGACTGGGCATGATTTGATTGTGGGAGTGTTCGCTGAGGCCGATCTGAAGCGTCACAACTGTCACAAATGTCATGGCCACAGATTGCTCGGAGAAGAAGTTTCTTTCTTGATAGGGTAAAGTCTCATAACCTCTACATAGATGGCTGAACATTACAAGGAGAATTGACTAGCTCCCTGCTTTCCGATTTCTATATATTATATATATATGTTTTTTACTGAAATAATGTTCAAGAACTCGTTTTCCTGGCCCGCAGGCTTCAAACATAAATCACACATTTACGGGAGACTCATGCTTTCTAATGCATTTGTCATTTGGATATCACGGACTCGAGCTGCCAACCAAGACATTTCTCATGTTGTTTGTACAGCTGATTTGTAGCATCCCATCCCAGACTTCTAAAGATATTTGGCCAGGCCATATCCAGCAGTATCACTGAATCACATGGCACATGACTATCTCCTTGAGAAATATTTGGGTGGGGATAGGTTCGCTCAAGACAAGAAATACTATTGTAACGCTAGTTTTTGACCATGAGCTGAGGTGGGTCTATCAAAAAACCTAATATATTACCGAGAACACTCAGGTATTTAACAAGAACAACAACACCACCCGCAAATACTTTCTTGAACATTTTACATCTTGAAAGATTTATGGAGAGAGACAAACAACTACAAATCCTGTATAGACGCCAAAGAAATATGATCAATTTTCAGATGAGCCACCCACCCACCCCCAAATAATATTGCTAGCTTCCCAGAATTTCCCAAACGTCCATATGAAAGCCGCCACCACAACATCAATAAATTGACAGTATTTCAAGGTATTATGTTGGTATGTTTTCGGTGTGAAAAGAATGAGGTGGCAGAGTCCATTTCAAAATTCAATGAGGCTGACAGATGAGATCACGGGCTGCAAAAAAAACTCAAAACAATTTTAGATTCGATGCGCTTGATGAACACGGAAAGTTTTGGCCAGCTGATTCTTTTTGCATCTCTTGGATATCTCCAACACGAGTGTTGTTAGATGTTTCCATCTCCTAAAAACCAGGTGCGCGAACAAACAACAGCCAACATTTAAGATTTGATACGCTTGATGAGCACAGAGAATTCAGTCCAGCATATTTTGTTCATGTCCCTACAATCACCAATATCATGTGTCTTACATTTTTAACTTACTGTTTGTTTAAGCAGGTGCACCCAAAAATCAAAAATTTTTGGAAAACACTATTAGGTAGCCAAATAATAAACCGTTGTACCCTCCCCACCCAAGCACAATTGATTGATCATTTGGAGGTGGGTGGGAGCCATGGGTACTCAGACAGCGGTACTCGTAGTAGCACCATCAATCGTCATTTGCAACAATAACTGCTGAGCCGATGAGCGCTTCAGGCTTGGCCTCTCACTGCCACATGGCATAGTTGCATGTGTGCGGGCACCTGGATGAATTCTCGAAAGTCGCAAGGCTTGTACAGGGAGGATCCAAGGGGCTCATAACCTTAGAAGGCTCCCCATGCATTTAGAAGTTGATGCTTGATTCTACCCGTATGCACGGATATGCATGGACAGGCATACAGCATGCGGAAAAACCTGTAAGCTTGTACCAGATCTGGAATCTGGGTGGCGAACGTTAGGACCCCATTCCTTCCAGTCAGATTGTTCCAAAAACTTTGCTTGCCTTCAACAAATTTTATTGCTTTTAGATTTGAAGACATGCGTACTAATTGCTTACTTGATTTGGCTGCAACCAACATGGATTGACTTCCCGAACTCCATCCCATCGAGCAACAAGAGCATGATACCGCTGCTGGATCACGATGGGTTCACACGAAACAGGAACTCTATGTTGGTCTCTTTTTGCGGCCAAGATAGCTGTACACTGCTAACCAGATTGAATGATCCCTACCCAAACTTGGATGTTCTCCCATGTGTCGGAAGAATCCCATGCCCAAAGTCGACTATTCATTCAAATGACTTGAATTTGAAAGTTTTTGCATTCAAGACCGATCCTCCTTCACGTGCCATCAAAGCCAAAGGCTTTGCGAGGACTCTTGGGACATGAGCCAACTGGAGATCAGTGCGCCTGGCTGAAGTGGAAGAGTTCCACCAGAGCGTGTGTGTGTGAACTTCCTGTGTTGGTCAGAGTTCTGGCATTTTTGCAGACAGGTGTTGCGAGTGCGGCAAGAAGATTGTAAAAGGTCAAGGGTTGTGCCACGTTTGCCAGGTTGGAAGAACACAACAAAGTTCTCCTTGCTGTTGGGGAGCCCAGGAGCTTGTTGGTCTCGTTCAGCCACTTTCGCAACAGCTCTTGGGAGTGATCAGTCCACTTGCTGAAGATTTTGTTGACGCGTGTGCAAACAGACTTGATACCAACCACAGGGTTGAGTGGAGAAAATGTTTGGTGAGCAGGGCACGAAGCCTGTGGTTTGCTTCCTCTTTTCGTGGCTTTGACGTGGGGCTTGAAGTGGTTTGCTTGACACATGGCAATGCAATGCAGATCTAGCTTTGGTCGGTGCCAGCATGTTCGACATGATGCTGAAGGCCATCTTCGCATGTGCTTTACATGTAGCCTTGCCCAAGCTGGGCGGATGTTATATGGATATGACAGAGTAGGATGATGTAGTATGATGGCAGAGCGTCCATCACCGAGGCGTTGGATCTTTTTCAAATCACCACGGTGTCGAACCACCAAACCACTGCACAGCTTGGGCGTGGGCACCTAGTGGGGTCCATCCAGACCCAAGCTCCTGAAAGCGTCCTTTCTCCTGATTCTGACGCTGCGAGGTTGTAGCTTTCATTTGCTGTTTGGGGTGGCCGGCCCCGATGGTGATTGGATTAAATCAGAACTTTGGGGCATTTGTCCCAGGCATGCTGGCATGATCCTTGCCATGTTGGAGCTGATGCAGAAGACGGACGTTCGGAACCACATCTTGAAGCAATATGATGAAGCATACTAGCTACTAGTAGTAAGGCACTTGTTACTAGTAGCGATGCACTTGTTACTACTAGCTTCTTGTTACTACTAGTAAGGCACTTGTTCCTACTAGCTTCTTGTTACTAGTAAGGCACTTGTTCCTAGTAGCGTTGCACTTGTTACTAGTAGCTTCCTATGCCTTACTATGAAACACCATTAGCCCCATGATTTGACGGTAGAGGATGCAGCGAGTTTCGTCAAAACAGAATCGATCATGGGGCGTTTGAACTTCATCCGAATTGTGGGTCTGTAGAGCAAGATCGAACAGTATTGTCATGCGAGAGTTCAAACGCTCAGCTTGCTTCCAATTCAATCACACATTCAGCTTCACGCGGAGCAAAGATTGCACTTTGCGTGTTGATCATGTCAAACAATGTGGGTTGCCTGCAGTTGCACTTGCTTTTCATGCTTTCCATCCTGTCTCGACCAGCCAGGTTCCTTGGCTACCAGTGGTCACTGCCATGTTGCGGTGCTTGGAGCTGGCCGCAGAGGCGGTGAAGCGCGGGGGGGGAATGCTTTGTTCAGTTCTGTGTTCCGGGAGTCCCCGAGCGATAGAAAGTACTTAGCTGCTTTAGTGGTTGCTTGGAAACAATATCTTTTTTCTCCTCCCCTAGAACTTCGTTCTCCTCGGTTCTCCCTTTGATTTTTTTTATCCTTGAATTTCCTGCCTTTGGAGTCTACATTGTGTTTGTTTCAACCAAGGCAGAGTTGGTCTATCTCGCTGTTCAAAGCGTCCCAGGGGCATTTGAGATAGTGATAGTTCCTTGACTGTGCAAGCGGACCGATCTGTAATTAATCAAAAGGGCTGGAAGCGCTGGTGACTCAGCAACAAATGATGCATGATGGGTGAAGTTGACTCCAAGACCTGTGGATCAAACTAGATGCCCAGAATATCCCAGAACGAACGGATTGACAAAATCTGACTTCCTAGTGTTGGGATATTTTTGGAGGTTGACCTTGTTGGGATTAGTTTGTCAGGTTGATACTGAGAAACACACACACACGTGTCCAATCATTTTCCAAATGTTTACATGTTTAATCCCCGACATTGTGTTATATATATATATTGTTCTAGCATTTTCGTTGAGGTGGCAACCACGTGCACTGATAACAACACAGCTCTCAGCGCGAACAGCATGAACACCGAACAGAGATGATGGCCAAGGGGTGGTCCAACAACTGGAACCTGGAACATTTGTAGATGGAGAATCTACCATGCATCGGTCACGTGCACCTCCTTACCTCTCAGCCTCACTTGGTGCACGGTCCAGGCAAGCAAAGCGCTAACATGAGTTGATTGGAAAAGACAGCGCCAAGTGCCAATACTTATTATATACAAGGACATGCTGATGGTGGTGAGGCTGTGCTTGATGGTGAGTTCAACAGGTAAATCCTAATAGGTCCAGTGTGTGGGCATTCAACGGTGCTCGGGTATGAATCTCCTTAGAAGCCCAGTTGGACAAGACGTGGCCCTGCGACGTGGTGCTGTGAGGTCTCTGGAACCGCGGCGGTGGTGCTCTTCCGAGACTTCAATGGGCTCCAGGCATTTCACTTGACAAGTTAGAATCAAACAGAAGAGTTTGCAAAGAAGTGGATGTGGCATGACAGCCCTCGGGTCTCAAGAACCTTGTTCAATTGTCAATGACCTTTGTCAGAAGAAACATGGAATCGTGGCTTGTGGACAACGCAGAAGGCAGGCATGGTGTATAAGGGCATTCCCAAATAAGTAGGTTCAAACCGCAGCAACGGGCGCGGCCTTTACAACAACCCCAACAATTTGATTCAAGCTTTTGACGTATCTATGTCAACCCATGTCTCACATGCCTGTCTTGAGTCTTGCTGTCAGATTTATGGCTCGGTTTTCGACCCTAGAAGCATGGGCTGTGGTGCCAGTGCCAAAGTGGCGGACTGCACTGCCAACTCGACATCAGCAGAAGCGACAGTTCCTGTAAGCTCGTGGTTCTTTAGCGCTCGTGACATTGTCCAAATCTTCTACACGAAGCAAGTTTCTGCAGACTTTGATTCCATTGTCACCAAGACAGAATTCAGGAAGTCCAGCAATTGCAGAGAGTTCGCAAAGTCCAGGGAGATCAGAGAAACCAGCGACATGGAGTTGGACTCGGAGCAAGCTGTCACCGATCACGAGTCGTTGATGGAGCTTATCCAAAATGTTGAGGATGCCGAAGAAGCTTGTTGCATAGCTGTGGCAGAGGTGAAGGCGAAGGAGGTCAAGTGGCAGCAGCGCTACACTTCGATGACAATCTTAGAGCCAGTGCTCGAGCTGGACAAGTCAGAGTGAGCAAAGCAGCTTGCTGGGTGGTGCTGGATAGTTTTCGTCAATCAGTTCAAGATAGATTAAGTTTAAGCATATTATATATATATATGTGTATTTCCAAACATAAATGTAATAATTGAATCAACTAATCACATTTTGCTTAATGCAGTAATATCAACTTAGGGGTGGTTTGAAATGTTGCCTGGCCATCAAATGTTAAACCACCATTCAGTGTTCATCTAAATTATATAGTGTTCAATTTGGAGGACCTTGTGGTTCGAATTAATAAGGTGGGACCTCTTAATCCTAACTTGACAATACAGGTACTCCATGGTAGTCCAAAATGTGCAGCCAGCTTTATCCCAGACCACCAAAATGCACCAACCATGCCAAGACTTGCAATCTCTTGCGACGAACCGAGTTTTTCTCGGTCAGGTATCACAGGCGTGCAGCCTGCTGTCGTAAGAATGTAGGTCGGATTTGCAAGTCCCGGATGTCACGTTGGGGGAAGATGTGGAAGTTCTCCCGAAAAGGGAGATCGCATCATCAACCCTGACCCTTGCCTGTTTTTGAGCGGGTTTAATGCCCCGTGATTATATTATGAATCATGTCAACTTCTGTGCACTTTGTTTAACTTCAGCTCTGTATGGGTGGTCATCAGGTTATGAAGATTGATTTCTATCAATTTTGAATTGTTGGGGTACCCACTTCGGTCTTTGTGGGCACTGTTTTAAAGTCTGGGCATGACCTATTCAAGCCAAAGTTGCAAGAATATGAAAGTCGCTGAGCTATGGAGCTTGGCCCTTTTGAGCTTTCTTGATTTTCTTGGCACATTTTTCCTGAGGAGAAGCGCATTTGTCACCGTTCCTCGTTATTGGCTCCTGAATGGGACCACTGTTCGTCAGTCGTGTGGAAAAGCAAACCTTCCGAGTGCATACTCTTCCGGCCTGTTTTGTGACGGAAGTGCCCTGAGATCTCGGACAGCAGGGCATTCGTCATGAGTTGGCACAGACATTGATTTGATACATCCAAATACGAGCTGCAGTGCGTATATGGTCTTCTCAATAGATTTATATTCTAACTGAGAAACTCATGCGGCTTGCTCTTGAAAAGGGTGGTATGATGCGTGCTCTTTTGCGCCATACTAATGGGGCGCATCATCGATCCTTTTGTACTTGGAAGATATCGCCATGAGTTTGCACTAAGCCCTGTGGAGCTACTCTGTGATCAAAACATAGGATAAGCAGAGTGAAACACATGGAACCGATTCACTTGGACTCTTTTTTTGTGGCGACTACCTGGCAGCAGTATTTCCCTTTCCCGTGAGGCCTTCTCTTTGAGGCTTCAGAGAGAGGTGGAGCTGTTGATGGCCTGACACCAAGCACATGAATGAATAGGATAGTGATATTGATGAGTGTATGTGACATGTGCTGGCTTTCTCTGGGTCAAGAAGTTCGGAGAGTTTTGCAAGAGTTTCATGATGCTGAACAGTCTCATCCTCCACCGGTGTGGCTTGCTGTGACTGCAAGTCTTCCTCAACTCATCTAAACTCAACATGCAACAAGAAAGCACTTCTCTCTCTTGAAGGAAAGCAAGTAAGCCGACAGGGTCCGGCCTTGCCACTAGATCAATGATCTGAGAAGATACAAGAACATCCTGGAAATACATTCTTGATGCCATGATACTTGGTGGTGTTTCTTGTGGCTTTGTGTAAGTTAGAGTTTAATTGTATAATGCAGTCAAACTCTCGGTCGTTGGGTTTGAGACGGCCTTAATTGGGCCTTTCCTTCCTTGAATTTCCGTGCATGTGTGTGTGGGCAGCAGAATGGCAGACCCTCTTGATGCAGTAGGAATCCCTCAAAACATGTCAGCAATTGACATGGCACGGCAACGAAATACAATGCCACAGGGCTGTCCCTGTGAAGGACTGATTAGGATCGGATCGGTTGTAGACAAGATTACGTGTTGCTGACATTTCAGGATCTTTGGTCCGATAGCTTAGCAAGGACGTGGTGGCCAGAATGCCCAACCTTAAACATTTGCGCATCACTGCTGCATCACCACCAATTATGAGAAGCCATGTTGGCCATGTTTTCTAGAAACCGCTGAGGCTTTGGATGTCACCGCCGATGCCTGGGCCACAGATGGACTGATGAGTTTGGAGTAATTTGAGCTCACAACGAGGACCCAGCATGGTTTGTGCAAGCATTTTTTTCCCCACCTGTCAGGTGAGGGTTGTTAGGTTTGATGTTAGCTACTTCGCGTCCTCTCCTCCTTCCACTGGTCGCCTCCTCAACCGCAAGTGTAGGAGGACGGCAGTGTGCCCCGCCAGACCTCAGCCGCCAGCTGCCGTCAGCTCGGGATGGCAGTGTTCCCCGCCGGACCTCAACCGCCAGTTCCGGACGGCAATTTTTCCCGCCGGACCTCAACCGCGAGTCAGAAGATATGCCAGATAGAACGCCAGAAAGCATGTCAGAAAGAATATCAGAAGATGCCAGAAAGAATGTCAAAGGATATGCCAGAAAGAATGTCAGAAGATATGACAGAAGATATGCCAGAAATAATGCCAGAAGATATGCCAAAAAGAATGTCAGCAGATATGCGAGATAGAATGCCAGAATGAATGTCACAAGAGATGCCGGAAAGAATGCCGAAATAATGTTTCAATTCATGCCGAGAACCTTGTCGGATTGAAGTGTCATGATGGGGATCACTCGAAGTGAAGTAATCTTGATACTGTTTGTATGAGCAATGGTAGGTGACCGCAGCAATCCTCACAAGGAAAATGGTTGCGTGGTTGCGACCGTTGTGTTTGGTGGACATTTTTGAGCTCTGCAACGAGGCATTTGATTTGGAGCCTCCAAGTAATGAAGATGAGAGGAGGAGGTCCACAAGGGAAGGGCCTGTGGAGGCATCCCGTGCGGCCTTTGGCCACATGACATATATATATATACATACAGTTTTGAATCTTTATAACCGACTGATAGATTGTGCAACAATATAGCTAGTTGATTTTTTGGTTGATGCTTACTTTGAACAAAAGAACACGCAAGAGTGCTGGGCCAAGTTCATCCACGGGCATGATTTCGTCAAATAGCCAAATCGTATTATTTTGAGTGATAGTATTGTTGTATGATTGTATGACCTCAAAGCCTAGACTTTCAATGACCTTGTTTTCTGCGAGCCCCAGACAACTTGCAGTTGCAAGCCAAGACCAAACCATGGACGGGCAACTTTCTGGAACTTCATTTCCAGTGTTTTTTTTTCCCAAGCGGCTCTGTTCTCTTCTGTTTCCTGTTTCTCCAACGGAGACAATTTATTCCTTGTCACTATGCCCAGCACATCGGTGAGGTTCTGGAGCCTCTTGGAGGAGGTCACTGCGCGACGTCGCCTGTGCCGCCAACTGCTGGAGCCTCAAACCGCACAGTGAAATAGACACGCGGGAGCAGGGAACCTGCAAACGTTGGAAGTTTGCACCACCTGGTTAGAAGGTTAGAATAGGTGCGAGTTGAAACGTGAACGACGAAACTGTTTTTTTTCTATTCAGCAAAATGTGTTTCTATCGGCTGTAGAGTGCAGGCCTCAGCTCCTTTGGTTTGTTTCTTCGCTGTTTGCAAGTCATGTTTATTTTCCCTTAACCCGATCAACATTTGCCTGGACGTCATCATTCTTTTGGCCTCAGCTACATACAGTTTTCCAAGTTTTGGGGCAACCGTTCAACCCCTAATACGATACGTCCCAGCGACAGGACTGGTTCAAGCACCGCAGGAGCTAGACGGCAGGGGCTTAACTGACATGATTCCACATGATCATGAGTTGTCCTTAGTTCCAGAGTGAGGTGATTTCTGGATCCAACGCCTCTCTTTCGCAGGTTGAAAAACATTCAGACGGCGCTTCAGTGCAGCGAAGTGCTACAGGCTCCCGAGGGTCCCAGGTTCGGGTATGTTGGGCTGATTCACCAGTCTCAAAGCTGCTCGTGGGAAGGTCGGTAATGGTTTGGCTTTCTTGGTCCTATTCCTGGTTTTGTAGAACGGTGGGGATTTCCCAGCCAAATCCAAAGGTGCATGCTGCAGACACATTTACTTTGATCAGCAGAAAGCAAAGGGTGACATCCTCGACGGGAGAACACATGTTGGGGGATGATTGGAGTCCACAACAAAAGCGTGAAGTGCCTACATGTTAAGTATAGAGTCTAGAGCAATAGCATCAAGCCGGAAAGGGCTGTCAAGATGGCAGTTCCCTTGTTGCTGCACAAGCTGGTGTGACGACAACATAGCACTTGGATCATAAGTACTTGACTTCGGCTGGGATTTATTTGACATTGTCGTTGCACTCATACATATTTTAATATACATCTACTCTATATATAAATATTATAGTATAGATCCTGAATGTGATATTTAGAAAAGGAGGTCGGATTTGCTACTTACAGTAGTTAGATGTAATTAGGGTTTTATGGTATACTAACAGGGCAAAAGACTCTAGTCTTCAAGACTACCAAGCATTGTTGGGAACATCTCTGACATGCATGTTTCGGATTGGCAGGCTAGGTGCATGACGTATTCTCTGAAAAATTGTAAACGTTTTATCTGCACCGTTGCTGTCTAGTCCAAGTAAAGTCAATGACTGATCTCTCTCTCTCTCTCTCTGTCTCTCTCTTGCTTTGCTTACTGCATCATGGCACATGCTTCGTCTGCGGCCTCCACCACTTTGTCCATCTGCGCTGCTGAGCAATACCTTCGAAATCAAGGCTTCAATGTTCCTCATGGGCTGGCTGGCTTGCATCTTGATGAGCTTGCAGAGATTCTAGCTCCAGTCGGCAGTCTACCCGAACCTCACCTTCATTCCCTTCGACAGTGAGGACGAACTTGCCTTTTGAAACGGGATGCTGGGTTTCTGGATCCTTCGCGTGTCTTGCCTCCAAAGCATCGCCAAATCTCCATGGAAGGGGCCATGTCTGCATGACAGTTGCTATGCGTCCCTAGCCGTTCCATGCCTTTGGGCCTCACTTCTCAAGATTGGGCCCTTAACCCCGCTGACTTGGCCGAGGATCGATGACAACGGCGGTCTCCTCAGCGAAAAACCGTTTGGCATGTTGAAAGTCTCAACTGCACCAAGCAAACGCTGAAGTTCAGCGTGTATTGGAATAATGGCCATTTGGGTTGAATGTGGCTGGGCAAGGAGACTGCAAAAGGTTGACCATCTTTGCCTTTCAAAAACTTCCAAATGAGTGCGCAGGAGGAAGACAGATCAGCTGCAATGGTCGCACGCGCGGTGTGCTTGTATCGAAGACCAGACACGGCATTTCGCAGGACCAAAGCAGCTGGAAGCACGTGATGGGGTCAGGACCTCCGCCTGGGCAGTTCAAGTTGACGGCTTTGGGGACAGTAGGTCTGCAAGCAATGGGGTATCCGCAAGCGCAAAGCGTAGCCGCAGGCACTGTGCGACCACGTTTTGACTGCTCCAGCAGAAAGGATGGCAAGTCCGAAGTGCATGGGCATTGCAAAGGCAGATCCTTGTCACTAAGCCATTGGACTAAACGGCGGAATGACCGAAGAGCCGCAGACAAGGTTTCATATTGAAATTGGCAAGCCAATGCATTAGCTAGCGCAGATCTCCAAGGAGGTTGTGCAGCAGAAGGCAATGAAGCCAGCTCCGACCACATTGTGGACCAGTTGGGTGCAACGACTTCATCAACCATGGCTACTATATATCGCTTCCAAGCCTTTATTCGGTCTCTCTTGATGCTGCCCCCTTTGGGCCTCTGAGACCGCGGCATCAACTTTCAGCACATACAGCATGCGGAGGCTTCTGCCCACCATGGCAGACTCTTTGCAACTGCCTGAGTCAGAGCGTGTGTGTTTGGGAAATTGCCACCTGCCGTAGATTGTGATTGGCTGCCGCAGCGCATCTTTTGGAGCACGTTGAGGATCCTACCTGGCGGTGGGCCATCATGCCTCATCTCCTTGACTTGCTCTGAATCTCCCTCTTCGGATGACTCTTGAGAACCCAAGCCGAATCCTGTCGCAGCGATCGAAGAGCTCCACTCCGCGCCATGGCATGTGGCATGTGACTGAGGAACTTGGCTCATACCAGCCATCCTGCTGCTCCAAGCAGTTCAAGCCGCAAGAAGTACGATGGGCGCGAGGCCACAAAGAAGCTCTGGCCGAGCCTGGTCGCTTTTGTGGTCCTTGCTTCCTGCGGCTCCCTGAAGAGATTAGAGTGCAAATCCCCAAATTTTAGCCTCTCAGATTTCAGCTTGATCGTCGCATAGAAAGAAAATGCCTTGCGCGATGGCTGCTCCCTCCGTTTGGCTCATGCCTCCTGCATGCAGCGACCGTTGGAGCTTCTAGCTCATACCACTGCCCTCTCGCTTTCTATAAGCTCGTGTGCGTGGTATGTAGCTTGAGTGTTTGCTTCTAGAGGCATGTAGCTTAAGTATTTGTTACCTAGCTCATGCCTCTGGCCTGTAGCTTAAGTCCTTGGTGTTTGACCTGCGAACCCAAATTTTTAGGGCAACTCACGGACTTGCAACATTTGCTTGGCAACCTCACCATCCAGATGCGTGGGGCGACCGAGAACATTGCAAAAGCCCAGACGCTCATCAAAGCGGCCTTGACCACCGGCCGCATGACCCCGGCAGAAGCTTCCAAATTGGAAGGAACCTTTGCTGGTAAGCCATTAGCAGGTGCCACTGCTGCCCTGATTGCCCGGCAGTATTGGGACCAACAGCACCGTGTGACTCCACACCTGCATAGGTCTCTCGAAATTCTGCAGCTTGCGCTGAGCCATGTCTTACCACGCACTGTGCACATGTTTCGCTGGGCTCGCCCGATCGTTGTGTACACAGATGCTTCAACTGAAGCGCCCTGTAGCAGCGGTTGTCGTTTGGGAGTTTGAATCAAAGATGGTGGTGACATTCTTTGTGATTCCCTTGATGTGCCAACTGAAGTCATGCATGTTTGGCTGCCTCGCAAGACACACATCAATCTTCTGGAGCTGCTCCATGCCCATAGTTGTGGACAACCAAGCTGCATTAGGCAGCATTGTCCGCGCCGCATCGAGACCTAGTGATGTCAACTGTGCGGTCTTGAAAACACGGCGTTGTATGAATGGGTCCCTTCCTTTTCGAACATCAGTGACGCCTCAGCCGAGCCGGGCTCCAAGATCCCGAGGTTCAGGCTGCACTTTTGTCAGGACGTTGGCGGCACCTCAGCCTGTCCCCGACATGGCACTTAATGAAGCCTAATCTACAAGCCATAGCCGACCTCATTTGGGAGGGAAATGTTCCTGACAGCGTTGGGGTCGTGCATTTGTGTGTGTGAGGTGGCTCCCTTTTTTAATGTGCCAAGCAATCCCTTGAAGCCGCCCGCCTAACAATGCGGCACAAAAGACGCGAGTGCGCAATCTTCTGCAGAGAATGCGTGATGCCGTGCTAGCAAATGGGCTTTTGTGAAACTACATCTAGTTGAACCCCAGGCCAGGAAGAGTGACCGCCAAAGTCAGGATTGTTCACGTCTCCAAGAACAAGCCCTTCCTGGCATCGTTATTGGTGAATCTTCTCAGTGTTTGCTGAACCCACAATGTGCCGCTTGTGCAGCTATATAATGCGTGCCTGGAAACTCAATTAGGGCCTTTGTTTATGCAGCCGTCTGACTCTGACTCCAGGCTGGCCTCGCCCACGTCTTTCAAGGGCCCTTGATGGATGCGCTAAAGACGGCCCTCAAGGCACAAGAATGGATTCTCATTGATCCAGAGTGAGATGGGATGAGACTGGCTTGGATGTGTTGCCTTTCCCAAGCCTTACTACTAGGAACAATAGGACGCTACAAGTAACAAAAGGCATCGCTACTAGGAGCAAGGGCGCTACTAGTAGCAAGGGCGCTACTAGTAGCTCCTGGCCTTAGTACTAGGAACAGAAGGCACACTTGGTGAGCTTTTTGGACTAACAGAACAAACCAGGCAAGCCGGCAAGCATCGACTCTTTGGCAGGAACCACAAAAAGTGGGTTTGTCACTCTTTGGCACTGCCATCGATATTGTCTCCAGCATCATCCAAGACGTGGGGCTCTTAGTTATAGTTGTCCAGTTGACGGGCTGTCAGAACAGAGCAAATGCATAGGTCTTCTGGTTGACTGGTTGCTTTCCTTTTTGCAACGGTGGGAATGCTTCCACCGCAACAATCAGATTGGGATATGTAGCTTCTCGTGGACATCCAGGGCCACCAATTGAACTTCAAAGCAATGAAGACTCATGTAATCCGGTCCACCTAATAAAAAACACGTACCCCCCCCTCTAATAAGGAAACCTCGGTCGCATTTTTTCTAATAGGGGGTCCCTGAAATCGGGGGGTCCAAAATAGGTCACCTGGGAAGAGCTTCAAAACCAAAAAGTAAATCAGTAAAATTGTATATAAAATCCTTTATTAAACTCGTATCAAAAATGCAAAAAAGCTCCAGATCGAAGGGTCGTCCTTTTCCCCTACAAAAACCTTCATTAGAATAGTGATTCTTCAGTAGACTAACAGCTAAAGCTGTCGAAAGGTGATGTCGCTGTGCCATGCGGTGTTGCATGACCTCGGTGGCAAGTGCGTTTGCGTGAGTCCATGCCATTGGGGGAAGGAAAGCCTGCTGGTGTAAGCGCGGCGTGTCATGGTGGATAGACAGGGCGGACAGAGGTGGGCAGTTACGGTTGTTTTTGGAACCTAATAAAAAAATCTCCTCCAAAGTCGGCAATGTTGGTAGTTTAGTAGCGGCTTGAAAGGGCGGTAATTTAACAACAAAAATAACACGTATTTAGGGGTTTCCGACATGACTTTTTTCTAATAGGGGTCCGTTTTTTAATAGGTACTCGGGATTATTTTTTCGACCATTCCCCAATCTCGTTTTTGTGTTTTGTGGTCCACGGAGTACCGAAATAGAATGACATAGATGATTGATGGTGTTATTTCCTTGTATTTCCTCCTCACATGTTCATAAACTGGGTGGCCTGCACTTGTGTCCCGAGGATCGCCAGAACCTTTTCATATACTGACTGAGTACTGTAGGAGATCTATGCTCAGGTCATTGCAAGTCAAGTTTGTCGTTTCTCCAAAGATTGGCTTTTCTGAGCAAACAAATCCAGCAATAGTTTCATTACGCGCACTTCTCCAAGGCCTCACACAGACCACACAATCCACTTGATCTCACACCAGTAGTGCCATTTTTGAGGATCCAACTCGGGTGCCGCAGATGATTGCGTCGGAAGTGTTGCTTGGGACCTCAGATTGCTGGACTTTGTTGTTGCGCAACACAATCTTCAATGGTCCCGCACCGAAAGAAAGAAAGGGAACCACTTCTCTTGGCCCTGGAAGGTTATCCACCTGGACATATACACAATCACAATCCATGTTGTGATTGTTTTTTGCAGCCGATGCCTTTCCTCTATATCAATCACAGTCAGTGTGTTTTTTTTGCAACGGCTGAATAAGGAGGTGAGCCTGCGATTGTGTTGGAGTCGCAGCGTGGTGGTTGTGTCTCATGTACGCACAACCCCAACTGAGGCTCTTGCCAAGAGAGGTGTTCGTCTACAAGAGTGGCTCTATCAACCTTATTTTCACAACATGTCACAACTCGTAGCATGTCCTCATAATGATGCCTCAGATTTTCACCGGTAGAGAAGCTATTCGCAGAGCGGGGAACAGACCGAAGAGTGTGCCCGATCTGACTCACCCAGGCCGGGTATCATGGCAGCGCTAAACAAAGAGACTCTCAAAAGCTGGGAGACTGAGGGTGAGGAACCATGCATCAAACGGCGATGAACGGCGGCTCATTTGCCACACGATCAGACTATGCGGATGCACGGTTGAATGGCGTTGAATCGCTTGTTGTGTTTGTTTGCCTCCGCCTTTGGTGTTGAATACTGGGAAGGGTATTGCATACAGCTGGTGTTGTAGATCTGTGAGAATTTCTGTAGAGTTGTCAATCAGAAGAATTGTAGAGTGATCAGCCAGTCTCAGTTTTGATGCGTTATACTTTCGACAAAGAAACTTGCTTCAGTGCAGAAGCAGTACAAAGACCTTCACTATTTTTCCTGCATGGTGTTGTCGGAGCCCAGGTGCAGAATGCCTTTCCTTCGTTCCTGGCGTGTTGGCGTCGATCGCGCTACATGCAGTGCGGACACCACGGCTGTTGGGTTCAATACGGTACAATAGTCTCCCACAAACATCAATGTGTGATGTCTGGAAATCCTAGAAATAACATTGTATATATAGTTTTACAATAAATGCATTTCTGGGAGGGTTGTGGTATGAGAATGTCTCCGCGGGATGCTGTGGGTTTCCAGGGTATCCAGGGCTTGGACCCTTGGACACGGAAATTTTCTGAATAAGTATGAAGGGGCTTGAAAGGAATCACGTCTCCAGTTCGTACCTGAGCAAGCTTTTGTACCTGCAATGATATTTAATAACAAGTGCGACATGCGACAAATTCTCAGAGAAGTAGACTAGCTCAGCTTTTTGCTGCGCTATGCTGAGCTTTGCTGCTCTATTACTGGGCTGGTGGTTTGCATGTGGTTTGATCACTGCGCAGTTCTCCGGGCAGTAAAGCTGCGAGCATTCGTGGATTCCCAACACGTCTTGGAATTTGTTTTGTGCAGATTCTTCACAGACATTAGCAATGCATGTTTTTTTCCAAGACAAAACAACTCCTCGTGCAGTTTGCCTGAGCCCTGGCTTTTACAGCTCTGAGGTGGGCGAAGACTTCCTTCTCAATTCGCTGTCAAAGCACTTCGACTGGAATGGGCATATGCTGTGAAACCTTAGTAGGACGAGTTCGGAATCAAACCTCATTTTAAGGGGAGGTGCTCCCTTCCCTTTCAAGACTTTGGGCTTGGTTTCTGGTGCATCATTCAAGCGGTCTTGGGTGCTCGTTCCGTTCAAACATATTTATTGGACCGCCCTCTTTCATGGTTTTTGCCTGTTAATGCTCACTGGAGCTCCTCAGGTTTATTAACAAACCCATGAAATCCTCACAAAGCCCAGAAGGCTTCTTCACAAGAGTTGTAGCTTGGTCAGGAGGAGACAAGCAACAAGGAAGCCACAACTATACATTGTATTAATAGTGATCATATGGTTGGTTTGCAATGTCATGTAGTGTAGAGTTTGGTTTCCTAGCAACTAGTGGTATTTGTGGCTTCAAGAGCCATGTCCAACGTGTGCCCCAAAACACCTTATGTATATAGTTCAAAAAGCATTGTCATCCTTGTGTAGTTTTATGCCATCCCAAGTCCACGTTTTTGGTGCAGGTAAGACCATCCACATCCCACGTGAGGCCAATACAACTGCTCACAGACATCCTCGTGGACACCAAGTTCGCGCCACTCTTGCATTCCCAACCAGCAGGGAACCCAAACGGCTATTGACTTAAACTTAAACAAACTCCTCAGTGTCTCAATGAAGACTTCCAGTTTGTTGGCGATCTAAATTGGATTGAATGCCAGCAAGGCACACAGGTGGGTTTGACCAACGAACCACTTGAGTGATTAGAGTGCCTTGATCATCCCTTCCGAAAGTGCCTATTCCGTCTCAGGAGATTGCGCAAATAATGAGCACTCAGGTGGACAAGGCTGGTCGTGATCGCTGGTGTTTGGAGTTGCATGTTTTACTTTTTCCAAATACATTCGAAACATTTACTAGGCACTGGTACTGGTAATGATGTACTGGCGGTCAGTGAAGGCAAGTCGAATGATGTGTCCTGCGTTCTTCGCTGTTCGTCAGAGGTAGTCCTGTTGGGGACGGCCAGTATATGTCTAGCTTACCATACCTTACCAGATTGTTGTTCTTGTCTACTTCTTGATGGGATGGGGGAGTAGTGCCAGGAAAGCAATGCAATTCTTCACCACACTCAACTAAATAGTCATTTG